GGATGACAGACATTGGTCTGAGAAACCATTGAGCGAGATGAAAGAAAGAGACTGGCGTATTTTCAAGGAAGATTTTAATATAACAACAAAAGGTATGGTTTATGTTGACCAACTTAACAAGTCAAATTACAGTTAAATTGACTTTATAATCTTTAGGCGGTAGCATTCCAAATCCTATAAGATCATGGTCAGAACCCGGGTTGTCGGAACGTATTCTAGAAATTCTTACAAATATTGGCTATAAAGAGCCTACTCCTATACAGCGTCAAGCAATACCGATCGGATTACAAAATAGAGATATTATCGGTATTGCGGAAACTGGTAAGTTATTTATACTGTTTTATAACTTGCTTTTGATATAATTTTCTAAAACGTCATTTTTGATAGGAACTGGTAAAACCGCATCTTTCGTTATTCCAATGCTTATGTATATATCTGAACTCCCTAAATTATGTGAGGAGAATATGGCTGATGGTCCTTATGCCTTAATTTTGGCTCCAACACGTGAATTGGCACAGCAAATAGAACAAGAAACTTTAAAATTTGCTGCACCTATGGGCTTCAACTGTGTTTCCATAGTTGGTGGGGTAAGAAATAGTGCCTGTTGTAATATCAAAGTTTATTTTTAGCAATAATACCAACTTAAATTTTATAGCATGCGGTTGAGGAGCAAGCATTCAACCTAAGGAATGGGGCAGAGATTATTATTGCAACTCCAGGTCGTCTGAAAGACTGTCTTGATCGAAGAATTTTGGTTCTTAACCAATGCACATATGTGGTTATGGACGAGGTTCGTATCAAAGATCTCAAAATGGTTGCTCTAAACAGAGCTAACAATTAAATTGCGTTTATTAGGCTGATCGCATGATAGATATGGGCTTCGAAGCCGACGTAAACGTGATATTGGACGCGCTGCCCGTGTCTAACGTGAAACCTGATACTGAAGAAGCCGAGAATCCAATTGAGATGCTCAAAAAAAACGGCCGAAAAGAACGGTATAGGCAAACTGTTATGTTTTCAGCTACTATGCCTCCTGCTGTTGAACGATTAGCCAAAAGGTATGTATTCAAATATCTATTAGTATGCTTTGCACGCTCCTCTCGTTTATTTATTTATGATAGTTTCTTGCAGATATTTGAGGCGGCCTGCTGTTGTGACAGTAGGTACTGCTGGCCAAGCCGTAGACACTGTGGAACAAAGGGTTGAAATGATTAATGACGAAGGAAGAAAGAAGTAAGTATCTGTGAACTGGCGTTTTCCTTCCTATATTTGTATAAAGTTTTATTTATTTTGTTTTCAATTTCAGGGCACGCTTATTAGAGCTTCTTCAAGGATCTTTTGATCCGCCAATAATCATATTTGTCAACCAGAAAAAGGGATGTGATGTTCTAGCTCGAGCATTGAACAAGCTTGGAGTGAGTTTTATAAAATTTGCTTTTACAAAATTCATCGATTATAGCATTTAATAATTTTTAATAAAAACTAGTATCGTGCGACAACCCTCCACGGTGGTAAGACCCAGGAACAAAGGTAAATCGTGATTAAATTATTTCATTTTGAGTTTAAATTATTCCATTTTAAGTTTGTATTATATTAATCAACTATGTTTTTAATTCTTTAGAGAGAGTGCTTTGGCACATCTTAAAAATGGCACTATGGATATTCTTGGTGCGTTAGTTATTTGTTGATCTTGTTTTTGTCTATAGCAAAATACGTGCTAATACACGATCTATGTTTCATTGTACATTAGTGGCTACGGATGTTGCTGGCCGTGGTATAGACGTTAAGAATGTTTCATTGGTTATTAATTATGATATGGCAAAGACCATTGAAGGTATTATCATATACTACTGAAGTATTGTCTCTTAGAAATGT